ATAGCCGAAGTTTTGGTTGAATGCCTCTTTTGTGAATCTCGGTTGTGGTCCCACCACTCTGGCTATCCCTCTAGTTCAAAACAATGATCCTTTGTATGAACCAATTGGTCATAATGAGTACACTTAAGAGTAGATTTGGGTGAAACTATCAAGGTATTGGAGTAATTATTCCTCATTTTTTCTTGTTGTTTTTCATATGACCCATTTTGATTGGATCAATTTTTGCCCATCATGGCTGAAGCTTCAACTTTTTCAAGTTCCCCATTCATCGTTGATTTTCGACGATGAACCATTGAGTGACATTCTTCTAATTTTGGGAAATGGTCTTTTCTCAAGATTTCACCACAAATTTGATCAAATTCACCACCCAAACCGACAAGAAAAATGTGTCATTAAACAAACTTGTGTGATAAGTTGCAACTTCTTTTTCACATTCCATAATTTCCTTATCACGGTGATCCAATTCACGGAAAATTTCAACCAATTCTCCATAATAGATAGAAAGTGATTTACCATTTTATTTGCCAAAGAAAATTCTCTGATGTAATGTGAAAACTTGTAGTTCATTTACTCCATCATAAAAAGCTTTTGATAGAACTCTCCAAGTATCTCAAGCAGTTTTAAGGCACATATATCGCTTCATATTGTCTAGAGACATAAATATTAGCAATCATCTTTTAATATTTTGATTGTCGGCGTACCACTTTTTGTATCCATCTTTCTTTTTAATGGGTGGTGTATATTATCATGAACAAGTGAGAGCTTTTCCTTTTCAACAAGATTCATCTTCATAATTTGAGACCACATATTATAATTTGTTTCTTTGAGAATGATTCTTACATTGAAGGATGAACTCTAGCAAGAATAGACTTACTCATATTGGCTTTAGTATCTCCATAATTAGATTTGCTCATCACGGAAGGTATGAACCAACTTTAGTACCAAGTCAAAATTTAAGAAGAATATTTTTATGTATATTATTATTATAAAAAATTGTGCACGATAAAAAAATTAAAAAAAATTAAGTATAACTTTGTCCCCAAATCTACTAATTATAGTTTTTTGATTTATAGAAAATTAAATCCTAATTTTTGGAAAAAAAAATATGAATCCCTTAAATTAAAAAAAAAAACATTTCAATATATAGTAATCCAGTCACACTGCTTTAAAAAATCTCATGGGTATTTTTTTTTATGTATAATTTCTAGGAAAATCCTTTTTTTCTTATTAAAACATTTTACCCGACACTTCAATCACTTCTAAAACCTGAAATATGCTTGTAATTCCAAAGCTCTCCAACTATTACATTTTAAATATAACATTCTGAAAATTGCTACCTAGTAAAAATACAATACAAACAGGCTTGAGATTGTAGGGTTGTTGATGCAATACTCTTGTATGCAATCATATCACCCTAATTTAAACTCATAACATGATAGAATTGAATTTCTTTACATGCTATGCAGACAATAGCTAAAAAGTTTCTCAACTTTTAATGCTGCATGCAAAGATATAAATTTCACAATGTTCATCTTGGAATATTAATTAACCCCAAGCGTGTGGTTCAGCGGTAGGGATTGATCCACGCTTAAGCAAGGTCAGGGGTTCGAATCCTGCCTTGTGTATGCAGCCGCGTTAAATCTTGGGGCCAGCTATCCCACCCTTTGAGGTGCCTCCAACATAGCGAGGAGATTAGTCACTGCTATCGGCGGTGGATACTCCAGGACGAACAAAAAAAAAAAAATCTTGGAATATTAATTGGAGACAGAAAGACAGTAACTTGTTCTTCAGTTTCCTGTTGCTTGTAACGTGTGCAGTGTCAATATTGCCATTCCTAGATGCCACCTCTCAAAAAGCTGCTCTGCCAGATTCCCAGCTACAACCCACCTCCAAGAGTGGTATTGCTGCTGAACA